GCGCGCGCGCGCGCCGCCGGCCTGCCTCTAGCGCTGTGTCTCTGTTCGGCAGCGGCGCAGTACGGCGGCGGACGCGAGCACAGCCGACCGTACGCCGACGCCTACAGCTCGTGGCGACAGTGACGCGTGCGGGCGCGGCGGGGAGGACTGCGTGCGTGCGCGTGTGTCTGGAGTGTGCGCGCGTGCGTGCGAGAGAGGGAGCAGACGGTGGATCACGCTGGTACAAAGGCCCGTGGCGGCGGGCGAGCGGGTGCTCCCGACGCGGCATTCGTTGGTGTTCTTCCTTGTTTTGCGAAGCTTTTGCTGTGACGTAGGCGGACGCGCGTGGGTTTATTTTCTATGTGCGGACCCGCGGCTCCTAGTGCGGTCTTGGCCCACCAATAAATCGCCGAATGGTGACACGGTGGTGTCGGCACCTGGACGAGGCCTGAACGTGTTGGGCGCCTGGCGAGCGGAATTGCGACCACCTATGGGGCTGGCCGTCCATCAGCACCCCTATGCAGTGACGTTTTACAGCTGTAGACTGTCGCATGGGGTGCCTCGCGATGCACTGAGTCAGGGTAAGTGCGCGGGCGGCCCCTTTTTCGTGTCTGTGTGAGTTCTGTGGGAGGGGTGGGGGTTCTAATATTTGAAATGAACGCAAACGCTGAGCTTAACTATCGTGTGATCCTGGCGTCTTCCGCGTTATCTGACGGCAACGTCCGCTTCAGGATACGGCGGCGACTACTACGGCGGATACGGTGGGTACGGGGGCTACGGCGGGTACGACAGCGGCTACGGCAGCGGCTATGGCGGCGGCTACGACGGCGGTCAGGGCTACAGCGGCGGCAAGCAGCGCGGCGGTGGCGGCGGCCGGGGCGGCAGCTCGCGCCACCAGCCGTATTAGCGCGGCTGGCCCCCTTCCCCCGTAGCTGTGTCCTCAACCGCGACCACACATCTCATCAAGGTGAGGCACAGGCTGGCTTGCGAGGTAACGGACAGAGCGACCGAGCTTCGTCCCGGAAGTGATGCGTCACCGAATGGTGATGCATGATGTGCTGTTTTTTTTCTCCCTGAGTCGCCCAATGGTGGTGCGTGATGTCCTGGTGTTGCTCCCAGACTACTGTAACTCCCCCACTACTATCTCCTCAACTAGGCTCATGCTGCATGATGATTTTCACAGTCAGTTCTGCTACTGATCGCGTTGACGACCATCGACTCCTGAAGTGATCTCGGCGCGCGTCCTGTTCGTCGCCCACCATCGTCTCTGACACCCCACACGTCCGGCAGGTTCACTGCACCATCCGCTGGCTCGCCTATGGCAGGGCCGTCCATTCCGCGCGCTGCGCGTGCTGGGCTCCGCGCTCGCCGGTCTCCGCGCTCACCGGTCTCCGCGCTCGCCGGTCTCCGCGTGTGAGAGTTGTCTGTGTCTTGAACTTGCGCCCGAATACACGGGTCTTGTGTACCGAGCAGCGTTTTCGGGATGGTGTGACAGGCTGCTAAAATGGGTAGAGAAGAGGCGGTTAGAACATGAAACAAATGACGCGAGGGCGGAAATCGCACGTTGCCGGGCTTTGGTAGAATCATAGACCATCAAGACTATGTAAAAAGGACGAAGATAACACCAATGACCGTAAGAGCGCCGAAGCCGCCATACACCAGTGGCCGTAAGGGCGCCGAAGCCGCTATACACCAATGACCGTAAGAGCGCCGAGGCCGCTGTGCGTATGCAACATATAGCTCCCTCACTACTATCTCCTTAACTATGCTCAAGCTACATGGTCATTTTCAGTCAAATGTGCTGCCAGTTGGTTGCGTTGAGGATCATCGGTTCCTGAAGTGTGCTTGGCGCGCGTCCCGCTCGCCCACGATCGTCTCTCTGACCCCACATATAAATCATTAGTACTTGAGTAATTGGGACGATATTCTGAACGGTTTGCGGTGGTGTCCTGGTAAGCACGCTGGTGAGGTGTTGCGGCGTTTCTGCGTTCCGTGGGCGGTGAGACGAGCAGAAACAATTTTCTTTCCGAAGACTGGGGAGCATTGTTGCGATTAACAGACCAACGATGCCCTACCCCTTAACGTCCAACGGCCACTACCGTTTCCAATCGCACTTTAAAAAACGGGTTGAGGAGATATTAGGGTAGCGGCAGCCTGGTAACATGAACTACATGGGTTGAACGCCAGGCCACGGTAAGTGGGAACAGCAGCGTGGGTTTTGATGGCGGGAGTTTCAGTGCTCTGTTCTACGCGGTCTTTGCCGAGCTGCCGCGCGATACCCTATCGGCGATATTATTATATAATGTATCACAATGTCGAGGCGAGATCACTCAATTTACATGATATCCAGATCGGTCTGCCGAGAACAGCCACGTTGCGGCCTGAGAAATAGGCGATGCGTATGAGGCCGGGCGATGGCGGCAAAGTGAAATAAAGATTCTTTAAACTGCTTTTAATTGCCTCTTGACTTCCCAACGCCCAGCCCAATCAGCGGGGTGTTGCATGGCGCGACTGATTCTGAATACTGTGTGCGGAAGGATCAAATTAGCTTATGAGAGTAGCGGACGAGCACGACAGCAGTTCAGCGAGAGGTTCAGTCCACGTAACATTAAACTGCCAAGTACGCGCCCCCCCAACGGGCTAGGGAATCCCCAGGCGGGTGATCGCATGGGGGCGGGGACGTGCGCAGGGTACATGGGGTCTGCTTTGGTATGTATCAGGATAGAAACGAGGGTCAAGATTAGCGAACAGCGCGTCCCACTCGTGGCCGCTCCGTCCAACCGTGCCGAGCTGCGATCGATGCAGTCAATTAGTGCGAGACCCGCGTTTTTCCGGGTGGCTGTCAAGCGTTTTTTCCCACTGGTCGCATTATGTAGCGCAGTCTAGTGCCGTTTCTACGTCATTTGTTTTATTTCAACGACGTAGTAATTTTTGAATGCCTGATAAACTGGTTTTGAGGATAATCGAAATCGACAACACGTCATGGCTATGTTGGCAGTGTTTTTGGTCTGGGTGTTTTGATTACAAAAACGTTGCGGATAGAACGCAAGTCTATGGACGGAAAACTGAAAACCAAGGGGGATCGGAGAAGCGTCGACGTGCTGTCTTTGCGTCGTGAGGTGTGCTAGTTGGTGCAAAACAACGCTGCCACGATTGTTGCTATTCAGAAGGGACAATTTTATTTTCTAGTGTGTTTATGCTCCATAGGGCTGCTGGCTAGCGCCCCTGGCAAAATCAGGGGATCGGACTGGTAAGCTGGAAAAGGATGATGTGCTGTAGAATGATAAAATGCGCTTGCGCTGAGGTAGGTGTGGTTGGGTGGAAGCGGGGGTGTTATATTGTAGCATATTTTAACAAAGCCATTGTTTTTGCCCAGTTAGTGGCATGGTGCTCCCTAGTGCACACATGAAGGCAGTCAATATTACTTCTGTCATACATAAGGTTGATTGTTCGTCTTGGTTCAGCATGGTCAGTTTTATGCTATTTCCTTCTATGTTGTGTGATAAAGGCATCAATACATCAATGCATGAATTGAATGCTGAAAATTTCAGTATGTAGCATAAAGAAATACACCAAGAACAGTACACCAAGAATAGCTTTTGCTGGATGCATGGGAAGGTGTGGTGTGTTGTTCTGGTTCACATGGCGCATTTATTTTTGATCGAATCTTTCTAGGTATGCAGACTTCAAAATTTCTGGAAAGTTTGGCCATCAGTATGTGGGTCACTTCAGAAGCAAGGTTCACATAACAGTGTTAACTTGTTGCTGGACTTTGGTTTATAGCATTGCAACAAAGCAGAGTGCTCATCAGATAATACTTCAGTTGCTTTGGTTTTTTTAGGCTAAAAAATTGCTCTGTTGGGGCAGTCATTTCTAGCTTGCTATTAGTAGGCCTTTTTTGCTATGCCTGATTCTGTGAAATGTGAAAATGCAAACATGTGAGACCAGTATTGGTTTGAAGGAAATAATAGCATGAGTATGTAATAAACAGCCTACTATTGCTGGGAAAGTATTCCTTAACACATTGTTTGGGGCTGAAGGTCAATTTGATCCCCTAGGAGTTGTGACACTATGATGAGAATTACATGTACTTTGTAAGGCTCCTGACTTGCGGCAGGTCAAAGCAGTCAGTGGCTGTCTGCCAAGGCAGTTTCTACAGAATCATTCCATCTGATGCAACAGAGTGTTCTCAAAGCCATGCATCTCTGAGCTGGTTTCATGGATAACACAGGAGCCAAACTGGAGATTATAACACAGTCCATTGACCTATCTTCAGGTACAAAGGTCAGACTAAGGTCAAAACCCATCTGTGTTTTACTAGATAAATGGCTTCTTGGAGCTTGCTTTATAGGGTACTTTCTAATGCTTATTTCTAATCTCATGATAATTCAGGCTGCAACAACATCTTGCATGGCTTTCTTAAGAGTCAGAGTAAGTCACTGACCTAAAACAACCTGGCTCAACCATTCATTGTAGTAACATTACCCATGATATAATCCTTGTGCATATTCAGATTTGAGAATCAAAGCAATCTCATAGGGTTTTGGTCACCATGACCTGATGACCATTGCAAAAGGTCAAAAAGGTCACAGACCTTACAGTGACCTTTTGCTTAGAATGGGTGTGCAGGCTCAAGGTGGTTACATTAGACCTGCCAACATTTTGGTCATCAATCTTGAGTTCAGGCTATTTGACTTTAAGGTCACAACTTATTGGCCTGAAAATTGTACACAAGTAAGCTCACGTACAGACCAAACCACCCTGTGAATTTGGTGTCTAGCTCTTTCAGTTTTTGAGATCTGGGGAGGGTAAATTGGTATCCACCCAAGCAAATGGTCATCATCTGCCCACCCAGGTGGGCATTGATGTTGCACAATGGCTGCTGAAATAGTGAACCCTGGGCATCTCGGTGTATTCTAAATTTGCAATAGCTGACAATTTGTCCTCCATGAAATTTGAAGTTGTACATAACCATTGCATAATCAAGCTGATTTCACTGCACATCATGACCCCAGGTGAAGCCATGGCAAGGGTTTCCAGAGTCAGGCTAATGGTCTAAAAATCTTGGGACAGATGTCACATACTATGACTACCCAGTCACACAGAGGATGCCACATGATCTCAGGTCACTGAAGACCATGATGAACATTAACTCCCTAATACCCTTTTAGTCTCTGGCTGCAAGTAATGTGAGCTCTAATGGTCTGATAGTAAATATTTGGCAAGGGATTGTATTTCCCATGCTCTACACAGCTGGCTGCCCTAGGAAATACAACATGGAGTATTTCTGCCTCCCACACAGTACATAAGCACTGGTGGCAGAGTTCAGTCACCACAGACTGAATGAGTAGGTACCAAGTCGGGTGTTGATAGTACAGTGGTCTATGTGTCTGTGTTAACCACTACACATCTGGGAAATGGGAGTCACAGTACCCAGTTCATGGTGCCTGCTCATCCTTCCCTGGTGAGAGGCAGGCTGTGCCATATAGTCTCAGCAGCTGAATGTTTCATGAAGCCCCAGTGACGTCCATGTATGTACCCATCAGCTCATCCCAGTTCCCCCATCAGCTTAACTGCAGTATCATCTCATGACAGTGTTCCAAAGCATGACAAGCTGAGCTTGAGGTGAGATTCAGATCCAGAATGGCTAGTGAAATAATGTGCGAGTCATTCAGTGATTTCCAGGCTTAGATTTCAGCCAGATGCTTCCGAGGTCAGACAGCAAAATTTCTTTCATGTTTGCTCTCTCATAAGGTTATGGCAACATTTGCCAATTAAATCACATCAGGTCCAGTCAAAAGTAGAAGTGTCAGAACATCTAGACCAGTAGCAAGTGAGACCAGTAAGTTTTCAGGCATGAGCCCCCTGGTTGGAACATTCTGTTTGGGATTGATCTGCCCTCTTGCTAGTTTTACTCAATACAACCAGAGCTGAAAATATAGGTATCTAGCACTTTCAGATTGCATAGATTTAGTAGATTAGGGGCACACCTTCAATAAATGATGCATTGGAAGGGCATTAGATGGCAAGCTGTGAGGGCATTTGATGGCAAGCTGTGAGGGCATTAGATGCAATGTGAGGGCATTAGATGGCAAGCGTGAGGGCATTAGATGGCAAGCTGTTGACCTAGCACCAACTCAACCCACCAGTGTGCAGTGGCACAGCCAGGGGGGGGGCTCATGGGATCCCAGCAGGCCTAAATTTTTATTGTTCTGTGCATAGTTTTTACCATGGCATTGCTGAATATAATTTGGGAATCTGGTGATCAGAAACGATTTTAGCCTTAGATTCACATACAGGTTTAAACACTCCATATAGACACATATACAGAAGCTACCATGAGCAGTGCATGGGACCCTGTAGTTGTATTTTAGGAACAAGGCTAGCAGAGAGCTAAGTGAGCATGTAAGGCATACAGCTGAAACAATTGGCAAGGCACCAGGGCAAACCAGCATCCATAGCTCAAA